GCAAAGCTGCCGTGGCTCCCATTCCATCGGGGTGACTTCACCTCTGGCATTGCCACCCCCGAGCAGGGCAGCCCCGGGGCTGGAGGGGGCTCGGGGTGGCAGAGCTGGGCATGGAGCTGGGCAGGGGGTGCCGTGGGGGGGTGGAGTGCCATGAGGTGCCACACGGGTGTCACGGGGGTGCAGAGCAGCGGCCATGGGCTCGTGGTGCTGCCTGTACCCAGCTCGGGAGCTTCTGCGGGGGAACGAGCTTTGATATAAATATCTTTTTGCTCAGCACACGACCTACTTTCCAGACAATGCCATTAGCCTCCCGACTCCCTCATTCATCTTGTGCCATCCTCCCCCAGCCCGCCCCGCGCTGGCACCCGCGCCAGCACGGCACACGGGCCACGGAGTGGTGAGCCAGGATGGGCACCTGGCTTGGTGGCACCCTGGGGACCCTGTGCTGGCCTTGGGGACAGCCAGCAGCCCCGTTCTCACAGCTGGCAGGGGGCTGCTGCTGCCTGTCCTCTGTGTCTGCTCTGGCTTGGTGGAGGGGGGCTGGGTCTCCTTGGGGGCTTCTCCGCCCCATCCCACAGGATACTCAGATCTGTTTCCCTCTCTGCTGCCTCCAGCCCCATTCCCTGCAAAGTCCATGCCCTGCGTGGCAACTGGCCTCATCCAGGGACATCCTCAGCCAGGCAGAGCCTCGTTGGGTACACCCTGGTCAGGGCAGAGGGGAGCACAGCGAGGCAGCCACACATTGGCTCAGAGCTGGCCCAGGGGCAGCGTGTGGGGTCAGGGCCCCTCCTGAGCACCCCCAGAGCTGGTGCTGGGCTCACACGCATGGTTCATCCAAGGATGATCCTGCAGGAGCTCCACGTGCTGGCAGAGGCTGTGCCGTGCCATTGGCAGCCGTGAGTGGCTGGTGGGATTAGGGGCAGGTTGGGCAGAGGGTGCCCAGTGCCACTGCCATGTCAATGCCCAGCCCCTCTGGCTCGTGGGGATGGCTCTGACACCAGTTTTCCCCCAGAAGCTGGAAACATCTCTCCAGGCCCACCACCTGCACACCTCCGTGCACCCCTGGGATGAGCCCCCGCTCCTCCCCTGCAGCTAAAATTAAATATTCAATTTGTATTGCTGGTAAATCCAGCAAATCTCTTTTATCTCTAAGCTGTTGTAGCAGGAATATCAGTGGTGTAATCTCCATGGGGGCTTGTCCTGCTGCCCTTCTCAGCTCTCTGGCTTGGACCACTCTCCCTTTTCCCCACATTTTTCTCTGGGATGCTTCTGGCTGGTGAAGCAGGTCTCCAGCGCCAACAGCAGAGCTCCCCATGGCACTCATTCTGCAGGTTCTGCTGGCTTTGGGGACAAGGGATGCATGGTCCCCAAATTGTGGTGGAGCTGCTCTTGGCTCAGGTGATCCAGGTGGTCCCACCAGAGCATCCCCCACGCCTACTGTGTCCTCACTCACCAGCCGTGCCCCCCCTCCCCGTGCTCTGTCCCCGCGCTAAGAGCATTGTGCAGAATTACGTATTTAAATATTTAGGTTTTCATCAGCTTTGCAAATTAAGCCCATCCATTAAAGCAGCAGTTTGGGTCCTCTCCTGGCAAGCTGGGCTGTGCCATGCCTCGGGCTGGCTGTGCTCATCCCAGCCCTGGCCCCAGGGGATGCAGCCTGGGAATGGGACGTGATGGCCTGGAGCATCCCTGCCGGCACAGGGACCAGGGCTCTGCTTCCTCGCTGTTCCTGGAAACTCCGGCCCCTGCGGGCCCCTGGCAGGGGGAGGTGCCTTGAAAAGAACCGGTTGGGATTGGTGTTATTTGGGGTTGGAGCAGAGAGTGCCTCGTGCCGGGGAAAAGAGGACGAGGAGCAAAGCTGGTGACAGGTGAGAGCCCTGGCTCAGCCAAGCACCTGGCAGGAGCAGAGCAGGGATGGCAGTGCCAGCCTGCTGGAGGCTCAGTGGGAGAGAAGCTGGGGATGGAAGGGGCAGCTTGCCCAGGGGCTTGGAGGAAATGGGCAGGAGATGGGCAGAGCTGTCACTGCTGCCATGCTCGGTGCTAAGGCTGTGCTGCCCCAAGCTCACCAAAGAGGCTTTGGAGTGATCCCTGGCTTAAGCCATTACACGGCATGGCTGGGGAGTAAGTGGCTCCTTAAGCCTCAGCAGCGTGGCCTGGCTGGTGGCTCCATGTGGGTGGAGGGAAAGATGGGGGAGATGGGGAATGGGGCTCACCCAGCACCGCTGCACAGCCACAGGGTCTGAGGGGGCTGCCATGGCCCCCAGTGCCTCTGGCACAGGCAGATTTAACTCCTGGGAGCTGCTGGAGCCCACTGCCCACCTGGGGCACCGCTGGTGGCTGGAGTGCCCATGGGAGTGTGGGCACAGCCACCAGGGCGAGCACAGCACAGGGCTTGTCCCTGCTTGTCCTTTCCCTTCACTGCAGGTGAACAGCAGGCTGTGGTCCCTCCTCGGTGTCACCTGCATGTCCCCCTCTCCCAGCAAGCCCTGGAGGAGGAGTGTGCTGGCTGCTGCTGGCCCCAGGCAGAGTGGGCAGATGTTGAGTGTGTTGAGTGGACCCAGGCAGGGGAGCTGTCCGTGGGCATCACCGCTGATGGGTGCTCATCCCTGTGTGCCTCAGTGCCCACAACCCCTGTGCTGGCGTGGGCTGGGGTCCCTGGAGATCTGCCTGGCCTGGGGGTCCCTCCACGGGGGTCTCACAACTCAGTTGGCTGCACTCCTGATGCTCTGGGTGTGGGATCCCACCTCTGGCTGTCGATGCCCCACGTGCCATGTCCTGGCTCCTGCGGGCAGGAGGAGCATTGCTGCGAGGCCAAGGGGGTGGAGGTGCCTGTGCCATGGGACTGCTGGCTTCTCACCCCTGCCAGCCCTTCCTTGGTATGCTGCCATGGCCCATTCCCTGTGCCACCTCTTCCCTTCTCAGCCAGCTTCCTGGGATCCCAGGTGTTCCCCATCTTAAAGGGCTTTTGAAGATGTGGTTTGGGCTTTACAGGGATGCAATGCCAGACTCCTTTCCCCGCTGGCTTTGCCTTGGCAGCTCCAGGATGCTCCAGCTCCTTTGCACACCCAGCGCAGCTCTTGCCCCCTGAATCAGGTCTGGGGCCAGGGTGGGTGGTTCTGGGCTGTGTGTGCTGTGCAGGGAGGGGGCTCCTGTTCCCCTGTGGTGGCAGCAGCCTGAGTCAGTGGTGTTGTGGAGGGAAGTCCCAGCGCTGGCGGCCGTGCCGGGATCCCTGGCAGCTGGGCGCGTCGTCGTGGCCGTATTTCCTCGCTCTGCTCCAGGAGTAATTGCTCAGATGGGGACGTGGGGCAACTCCCATCCCTCTCCCGGCATGGTAATGAGTGAAGAAGACTCAAAGACAAATGGCTCATTAAGAAGCAGTGCTGCATTGCAGGATTTTTCATCCCACCAACCGCTGCATCAGCAGAGGCAGCACCTCTCGCGCTCGCTCTCCCAGCCCTGGAGAAGGAGCTGTCAGGCAGCTGGGGCTGGTGCCAAAATTAATCATGTGCTTAATAACGTGCCCAGCCCGTTGAACGGCCTGTCCTCAGCCTCTGGGCTGTGGAGAGGGGTGGCTGTGCTGGACTGGAGCCCTGGGGCACTGGGGATTTGGGGTTGGTGCCTGGGAAGTGCCCATGCTCGAGGAGAAGGGATGTATCAGGGCAGGGCTGAGCCAGAGGAGATGCCCCCAGCTTCGGGGTGCCAGAGCCTCTCAGTTATGTTGGGGTGTCAGGGACCCCCAGATATTTTGGGGTGCTAGAGCCCCCCAGCCCTGTTGAGGTCCCAGCCAGCTGTGCTGGCTTTTGTGGCCTTCCCAGTGGCCTCAGTAAACACTTCCTGCTCCACTCATATTTGCAAATCCTCAGCTTGTGATCATCTTTCATGACTTTTAAAAAATCTTGCCTCATCCCTTTTTTCCAGCGGTGCCCGGTTGGATCCTGCCCCTCACAGCCCTCTGCAGGCAGTGCCTGCCTGCAGCTGCTCTGCTTTCTTTTATTAACAGTAATTGGTTTTGATTTCCTGATTGCAGCCAGTGTATTTTCTGTGATCTTTGCATCCTGCTCACACTGTTTTTCTCTTTCACTTGTCCTCTTTACCTTTTCCTTTTTCCCCATCCCCCTTTTCTCTTTCCTTTTCCTCTTTTTTCCCCTTTCCTTTCCTATTCCCTTTCCCTTTCTTCACCTTTCTCCTTTCCCTTTCCCCTTCCTCTGCTAAATTAGGTGATCTCTTACTAAGCCCCTCTTTTTTTCCTCCAAACCGAGTAAATTTTACTAATTCAGCCTCATAAAATAACAGAGCAATTAGTAATAAAATAAAACGTTTGCTTTCCACAATCCTTCTCGCTTACAATGAGCGGGGAAAGAGTAAATAGATTAAAAGCACGGTGGAAACGACCTGGCGGTATTCCATATTTATTTTCTTCCGACGACAGTAGATCAAATTTGTTCAGCCCCTAAGTGGGAAAACCACTTTATTTTATTTTTTTCCCCGGCTCCAGCTCGCGCGCGGTGCCGGGCGCTCACGCTGCGTGTTTGTTCTCTCCCGCTTTCATCCCAAGCCATAAAGGTCCCCAGCAGGACCCAAGCTGGCAGAACCTCGCATTAATTTGCAGAGCAGAACGGGCCGAGCTCGCACCTCTCCCGGGCTGGAAGGTGGAAAAAAAAGTCCCTTTGGTGACGCTGGAAAGGCGGGGTGGCGGGAGGAGGTTTTGTGGAGCGAGCGGCCGGAGCCAGAGCAAATGAAAGTTGATGGCGAGGTGGCCGCTGGGCTGGCTCTGGCACCCGCTGGCAGGGAATTGCATAACAGGATGGGACCGGGGATGGTTTTGGGGCTAAACTGGCTGAAACACGTGGCCGTGGCCGTGCGGAGCTGTCCCCGTTGCTGAGCTGGTGTGGGGTGGCCTCAGGGGAGGATGGAAGGCTGGGATGATAAAAAATACTCAGGCTGGTTTTGGGGGGGAGCACCCTTGCTCTGACTTCATCCCCCTCCTGTTCCTCCCCCAGAGCCTGCTGCCCCAGGGATTCCCAGCGTGGAGGAGCTGCTGCTGGCGAGGCCATGAGGACAGCATCCCCCTGAGCGCCGGGCGGTGAGTGCCACCAACAGCCCTCACTGGGACCCCAGCGTGGGCTGCCCGTGGTGGGGCTGCTGGGGAAGGGCAGGGGGCCAGGACCCCCTGAGTGCAGGGCCATCAACTCCAGCTCTTGGGGTTAGACCTGGAAGTGATGGAAAACCCAGCCTTGCCCTGTGTCAGGGTGGTTTGCCAAACCCAGACATTGTGATGGGGTTTTGATGTCCTCTCACATCCCTGCTGGTGTTCCTGGAGGAAAGATGGGAGGATCCTGGTGCTGTGGGGTCCCAGGGAAGCTCAGGCTCCTGGTGGGTCTGCCCTGAATCCCTGCAGCCCTGGGCCTCAGCACGGTGCTGCCTCCAAGGCAGGGATCTCATGGGGAAGCTGCTGGGAAGTGGAACTGCCTCTGCCAAGTGCTCCCATGGGAAATTAAGCAGGAGGCTGAATTTCAGGATGGCCTGGAGCACCAGGGACTACCAGCCCCTCTCCTCCCTGTGCTGACCCTCGCGATGGGGAGAGACATTAGAGGGAGGTGGTGATGGGGAGCCACTGGTGGGAGTTTCTCCAGGCGCTGGATGCAATAAAGGCGAGGAGTGAGTTATTTGTAATGGTAATTATGCTCTTCCAGTTTATCCTAGCACATAATTGTGTGGGCGGTAGGTTCCCACTGGTGGTAATTACCCTGGTGTTAAATGGCACAAAATTCAGCTGGGCTGGGCTTTTCCCCCTTGACTTAAATCTGTGCTTTGGTGGCACAAATCCCTCCGTCCCACGGGCTGCTCAGTGGATTGGCCTTTGGAGGGAGACAGCTCCAGCTCTCGGCCAGCTGCCCCAGTCCCACTGCCAGCCTCCCCACTCTGCCCTCCTGGGACAGGGGAGAGGAGTGGGCTCTCATCCTCTGCACGTGGCCATTCCTGCTGCCACACGCGATGGGGACCCTGCGCTGCCCGAGCTGAGCCCCACAGGGTCTCTCCCAGCCCTTTCTCCATCCCGAGGTTGCCCTCAGGGAGCTTGGCTGCTCTTTGGGCAGGGTGTAGATTCCTGTGTCGCCTTGGTGAGCTGGGACATGGATCCTCCGCCGCGGCACGTCCCCACCCGCTGCCGGCGCTCCGCAGGTGCGGGGGAGCTGCGGCGCTGCCTCGCCTGCGGTTCCGGCTTTGTTGAATTCCTGCACCTGCCGAGCACAAAAGCCCGGCGGGCTCGTGCTGACAGGCTCCGCAGATATTTTGACTCCTTCTTGCCGCCGCGGCAGCAATATTTGGATCAGCTGAGAGCTTCCCTCCCCGAGCAGGAGATGATAGCTCAGCCCGCGGAGGCAGAGCTGGGCTGGGAGCCTGCTTGTCTGTCTGTCCTTCCATCCTGCTGCTCGATCCCAGGCCAGGGAGTCAGCTCCATCCCACTCTGCTGCCCCTGCTCCTCGCAGCAGCTGTCTCGGGAGGGGAGAGTCATCATCTGTACCAGCTGCATCTCTTCCGTTCAGCAATTAGGGAGCCTTGTTAGAGCAGGAGCAGGATCTGAGGATGGGGAGCGGTGCAGGATGGAGCCATCCAGCCTCAAAGAAGCTGGGAAAGAAGGTGGTGGTGGTGGCGGCTTAGGTCAGATGTGCTCCCCGGGCCCTGTCTGCTGCTCAGGGCCAAAACACCATTGGTGCCCACCCCCACACCCCTTGGGACCCCCAGTCGCTCTCTCCTCCAGCGCTGCTTGGGGACACAACCCCCTCCCACCAGCCCTGGCCCTCCCAATGCCCCTTGTGTCGTCTCCATGGTCAAATCCCCACGTGCCACAGGGAGCGTCCCACGGTCACCTTTCCCTGCAGCCAGTCTGGGAGACATGCTGCCCGCAGCACCCTGCCCAAATATGACAGCAAGAGCGTTAACGATGCCTGCTAATTAGCCGAGATACTCTGGAGAATAAGTAATTTCCTCATTTACAGTCCAGCCAAAGACAGAGCCTTTGAGGGACTGCAAGGCACAAAAACCTCCATGGGTGCAGGCTGCTCAGCCTTGGCTGGTGCAGGCTCAGCCTGGCTCAATGCCGTCCATCCTCCTTTTGCCCTGGGGCTGCCCTCACACAGCACAGCCACTTCTGCTCCTGGCTCCTCATCCAGAGGGCTTGCAGGGCAGGAGAGCCCTGGATCGTGGGTCTCCATGTGGGGCTGGATGGAGACATCAGAGCGCGGCCCCCCCGCGCCCTGCGGCAGCTCATTAGCGGCGCTGTGAATCGCAACGGCTGAAAAACTCAGCCACAGCCGCTTTCTAATGGAGAAACACTTCATAATATTTGGTGTTGGAGAAGAAAACAAGGATCTGCTGATGGCAGCGTGTCCTCCCTCGCCGTCTGCAGGCCCTGCTGCCTGCAAGGCATGGCAGCACCTTCTCCTTCCCACTGCCCCCTCTGAGCGCCTGGGCTGGGGGTAACCCCAGGTGCCTGGCATGGACACTGTGCTCCTGTCACCACACGGAAAGCCAGGATGCTGGCACTTCACAGGGCTGAATCTTGCCCTGGAATCTTCCCAGCCTTCTCAGCTGGTTCCTGTGAGGTAGCCCCCAATGTTCTGCTGGTTGTGGGGGTGCAGAGGGGATCCTGACACTCTTCTTGTCTCTGTCCCCACAGATGAGCCCGCAGGGGCATCCCGGCAAGATGCCGAGGCTATGGGGTGGGTGCTGAAATGATGAAGGGCTACCATGGGGAGCGTAGCCAGACACAGCCCTCCTCCGGCCACCGCTGCCGCTGCATCCCTGAGAACTGCGAGCATCCCGCCGACTACATCCCGCACGGCCCCGAGGGCCGGCCGCCATACCTGCTCAGCCCCAGCGAGCCGTGTTCCCTGGAGCATCCCTACTGCCCGGCGCGGAGCCCCGGCGCGGGCAGCGAGTGCCCGGGCGGGCCCCTGAGCGAGCCGCCCTCCGCCAGCGCCAGCAGCACCTTCCCGAGGATGCATCACGCGCAGCAGCCCTACGACTCCTGCGACGAATGCATGGCGACCGCCCACCCTGCCAGCAAGATCAACCGCCTGCCCCCCACGCTGCTGGACCAGTTCGAGAAGCAGCTGCCGCTGCACCACGACGGCTTCCACACGCTGCAGTACCCCCGGGCCGGCGGCGCCGAGCCCCGCAGCGAGAGCCCCAGCCGCATCCGCCACCTCGTCCACTCCGTCCAGAAGCTCTTCGCCAAGTCCCACTCCCTGGAGGCGCCGGCCAAGCGGGACTACAACGGCGCCAAGATGGACGGCCGCGGGGACGGCTACCACCACCACCACCACCACCACCATCACCACCACCACCACCAGTCCCGCCACGGCAAGCGCAGCAAGAGCAAGGACCGTAAGGTGGACTCCCGGCACCGGTCCAAGATGTTGGGCTGGTGGAGCTCGGACGACAACCTGGACAGCGACAGCAGCTACATGGTGTCCGGCCGGCACGCCGCCGACCAGGGCACCCAGTACTGCGTGGACGCTCCCGAAAGTGCCTTCAGAGACTTGACCTTGAAGAGTCTAAAGGGTGGCGGGGAAGGAAAATGCCTGGCCTGTGCCGGCATGTCCATGTCTCTGGACGGCCAGACGCTCAAGAGGAGCGCCTGGCACACCATGACCGTCAGCCAGGCCCGTGAAGCCTATCCCAGCGCCGGCGGCACCGAGAAGACCTTGATGCTTCAGGAAGCAAAGGCCAAAGACAGAGCATACCAGTACCTGCAGGTGAGGTGCTGGGCAGGGTGATGGGACTGGGGCTGACTGTGCTGTGGGGTGAGCCAGGGCTGGGACCCTCCATCCAGCAGCCTGGGGTGCTGTGGAGATGCTCCAGCTCTGCTCTGTGTCCCCAGAGCCTGTGCCCCATTCCCAGGGTCCTGTGCTGGTCTCTGATGTCCTCTTGAAGTCCATCTGCTGCCTCCTGCCCTGTGCTGCATTTGGGGTCAGACCAGCTCTGTCAGCTCAGGGCCACCAGCAGCCCTGTGCCTGCTCCCTTCTCACTGCTTTTATCCTGCCTGTGTGCCTGGCTGGGTGCCACTGCCTGCCTCATCACCAGGCTCCCTTCTAGGTCACCCCCCTTCCAATTAAAAGCTAATTAACTCTTCTCTCCCTTTCCTGGGGGAAGGAGACAGGGAGCAGCAATGCTGTGCTGGCCAGGGGTGGGGTGGCTGGGGCCTGGCTCTGCTGGCAGCAGGGACACTGGGGCAGGGTGCTGGCCCCATCCCCCTGGCTGGGGCCCCAGGGGACACCATTCCCCTGCCACTGCCCTACAAGGACCCCGTGGTGCTGGCGTCAGCAGCACGTGGTGGAACTGGTGCCCGATACGTCAGGCGGGTGTGGCGCTGGCATGGGTGGGATTTGGCCCAGACGCTCCTGCCAGAGGGGCTGTGAGGTGGGAGCTGCTGCGCCGCCCCGCGTTGTGGGAATGGGGAGCTGCAGCTCTTAGGCGGGATCTGCTCTCCGGGATTTTGGGGCTTTCCAAAAGGGTCAGAGCCCACAGGGTTTGTCCCTGTTGCTCTGGGGGACAGGGGAGCTGGGCACATGTGCTGGATTTGGGCTGGATTTGGGCTGGCACGTGGCTTGGCTCTGCATCCCACCTGTGGGACCCCGGCCACCACATCCTCCCACGCTTGCCTCCTGCTGCAGGTGCCGCAGGACGAGTGGAGCGGGTACCCGGCGGGCAAGGACGGGGAGATCCCGTGCCGGCGGATGCGCAGCGGCAGCTACATCAAGGCCATGGGTGACGAGGACAGCGCCGACTCGGACATCAGCGCCAAAGTGTTGCCCAGGGCGGCCACGCGGCGAGACAGCTACCGCCGCTCCTCCAGCGCCGACCAGGCCAGGACCAAGTAAGGGCTGCTGCCTCCCAGCCCCGTCCCAGCTCTGCAGGCAGCAGTGGGGCCATGGGCTCCCTACGAGGACAAGTGGCATTTCCCTGCTCAGGGCATTGTCCCCACTCACAGCACTGTCCCTGCTCACAGCACTGTCCCAGCTCACAGCCGCAGTCCCCAGCGCAGCAGCACCCAGCCCTGTCCCTGCTCTGTGTCAGGGCACTGGGGGGGACATGGCTATGCTGGGATTTTGGGGGGGACCTGCTGTTGCAGCCACGTGCAGACCCTGGGGAGAAGAGGCATGTTCAAAGGGGGATGAGACGTGCCCCAGTCCCAGTAGGTGACAGTTTTGGGGGCAGTGAGGAGTGGGGACAGCAGCGGTGGCCAGCGGGAGGATCGCTGCAGCTGCGTTTCCCAATGCTCTGCTGGAATGTGTTGCTTTTGGTGCGATCCCTTCTATTCCCACTGTCTCTCATTAGGTTTGCAAGTAGGCACTATTCTGATTCATATATCTGTAACTGTCCCAGCTGCTGCACGCCACCGCGAATGCTCCCGCGGGGACAGAGCTACGGGCGCTCCTTCACCACCGGCCAGGTACGTTCTGTGCCTCGGTTCCACAGGGCAGGCCGGGGCAGGGGTGTGGTGGATGTCGCTCTGAGCATCCCTTGCCCGGGCTCAGCCTCACCCACCGCTCTCCCCAGATCAACGACGAGCTCAACCACCAGTTTGAGGCCGTCTGTGAGTCGGTTTTCGGCGAGGTGGAGTCGCAGGCCGTGGAGGCGCTGGACCTGCCCGGCTGCTTCCGCATGCGGAGCCACAGCTACCTGCGGGCCATCCAGGCGGGCTGCTCCCAGGACGATGACTGTCTCTCGCTCTTCTCCATGTCGGCCCCTCCTGGGCCGCCCATCACCAGCAGCATCCTGAAGCCCAGCACTTGTGAGTCCTGGAGGGTGGCGAGGGCTTGGCCGCGTGAGGGAACCCCACATCTCCCTGCCTGCTCACCTGGGCACTTGCCAAGGGCTGCTGCTGCCCTCCTCCTGGCCCTCGACCCCTATAGTGCCCAGGACAGGGTGTGGGCATCCTGCTCGTCACCCAGGCCCAGTCAGGAGGCTGCTCTGTGTCCCCAGCACCCATTTGCCATCCCCTTCTTCTCTCCACTTCTGTCCCCATCTCTGCCCCTTGCTGGGTGCTGCAGCAATGTGGCCAGTGTGGGTCTGGGGTGTTTTCCAATCCCAAAAACTGGTCAAACAGCCCCGCTGAGCTCCGGCCATATCTAACCCAGCTTGGGGGCAAACCCTGTGGGGTCATGATCCCTGTGCTGTGGGAGGAGATGGGCAGCATTCCCCGGGGCCCCTGTTTGTGGCGGGAAATGAGCAAGTGTCTGTGTTTTCACGTGCCTTTTCATCCTGCACCTCTCCCACAACAGCCTTCAGTTACAGAAAAGCTCCACCTCCCATCCCTCCAGGAACCAAAGCCAAACCTCTCATCTCCGTCACGGCGCAGAGCAGCACCGAGTCCACCCACGAGAGCTACCTGCCCAGCGAGGTCGCCCGCAGCCCCGCCTGGTCCAAAGATGCCGCGGCCCGCTGCAACTCGGCCGAGAGCCTGGAGAGCTCCAAGGTGACGGCCGTGGCCCTCGACCTGCCCCCAGTCCAGCCCCGTGCTGCTCCCAAGCCCTCCACGCTCATCATCAAGGCCATCCCAGGCCGGGAGGAGCTGCGGAGCTTGGCTCGGCAGCGGAAGTGGCGTCCCTCCATCGGCGTGCAGGTGGGCTCCGCTCCTCCCTGCGGGCTGCCCCAGTGGTGGGGGCCGTGCTGAGCCACCACGCTGCGGTTTGGGGCTGCCCTCCAGCGCTCTCTCTCTGCCCCTCGGCAGGTTGAGGCCGTCTCTGACTCGGATACGGAGAGCCGGAGCCAGAGGGAGTTCCACTCCATCGGGGTGCAGGTGGAGGAGGACAAAAGGTACCACATGGATGGGCTGGGCTGAGACCTGCCACACTCGCTGCACTGGGGCCTTGGGTTCCCAGGGGCTTCCTGAGCTCCACACACCACGGCTACCTCACAGCAGCTTTTCCCTCTCCCCCCTGGCTGAAAGCCCAGAGCTCAGCACCTTCCCCATGCCAGGCTAGCTGCCCCCACCTGGGGCAGGATCTGCCTTTTCCTTTGTCCTCCCTGCTGCCCAGGGAAGGTGCTGCTCTATTCCATCCCTGTGCTGGGTCTCCTCTGCTGGGCTCAGCCCTAAGCTTTGAGCCCACGCCAGGTGCAGATGAACCTTTGGGCATTTCTGTAGCTAACCATGACATTTTGGCTGGGATGGGAATGCCAGGTGTGCCAGAACCTGCATGCCCTGCGGGAGGGGAGCTCCGGCATTGTGCCCATGTTCCTCTCCATCCCCGGTCCAGCGCTGGTAGCCATGGAAACAGGCTGAGAGCAGAGGAGATGAGGGACCGGCAGATCGCAGCTGCTCAGGGTTGCGCCTGTGGCCCTGAATGCTCCGGGATCCACCCCGGCATTCCCAGCCCCATCCTACCCGTGGGTGTCCCTCACCCTGCCCCTTCCACTGACGGGGGGATGGGACAATCCCTGCTGGACACAAGGGTCCCCACGCTCTCCCTGTGTCCGCAGGCGAGCGCGCTTCAAGCGCTCCAACAGCGTGACAGCGGGCGTGCAGGCGGACCTGGAGCTCGAGGGCTTCACCGGCCTGGCCGTGGCCACCGAGGACAAAGCCCTGCAGTTCGGGCGGCCCTTCCAGCGGCACTCCTCGGAGCCCGAGTCGGGCCGGCAGTACGCCGTGTACAAGACGGTGCACACGCAGGGGCAGTGGGCGTACCGCGAGGATTACCAGCTGCAGTACGACACGGTGGAGGTGCCCCGGCGGGACGCCTGGATAGAGCGGGGCTCCCGCAGCCTCCCCGACTCCGGCCGCGCCTCCCCGTGCCACCGCGACGGGGAGTGGTTCATCAAACTGCTGCAGGCAGAGGTGGAGAAGATGGAGGGCTGGTGCCAGCAGATGGAGAGGGAGGCAGAGGACTATGACCTGCCCGAGGAGAGTGAGTCGGGTGGGGTGTTGCAGCAGAGAGGGGTGGGGATCCTGCAGAGCTGGGGGGGGGCACAGTCATTGTCCTGCAGTGCTCCTGCCTTGGAGCGTCTTCGCTGCCAGGGCTAAAGAGGTTGGGTGAGGGCAAGAAACACAGGGAAACCCCCTGGGGCTGTGAAGGGGAGGAGAGACACGATGTGTTGGAGGGCAATGAGTGGCTTGTGACTGTCTGCTCTCCCCCCCAGTCCTGGAGAAGATCCGGAGCGCGGTGGGCAGTGCCCAGCTCCTCATGTCCCAGAAGGTGCAGCAGTTCTACCGCCTCTGCCAGCAGAACATGGTGAGTGTGAGTGTGGGCAGGGTGCCAGGGGTCAGCTGTGGTGGGGAGGGGGTGTCTCATACTCTCAGCCAGTGACTATGGACCACCATGGAGGAGAGCCCCCAGCACAGGGGGCTGGGATCGCCCCATGGCCAGCAGAGCCAACATCCCACTGAGGGATGAGGATGGCACTCTGTCTCTCTGTCCCCACAGGATCCCAACGCATTCCCTGTGCCCACCTTCCAAGACCTGGCTGGCTTCTGGGACCTCCTGCAGCTCTCCATTGAGGATGTCAGCATGAAGTTTGGGGAGCTCCAGCAGCTCAAGGCCAATGGATGGAAGATCATGGAGCCCAAGGTAAGGGCAGGGCTCTGCCACTGGCACTTTTACCTGTCCCCTCTTCCTCCCTCCTCATCCCCAAGCACATCTGCACCCAAACCACTGCTGGGCTCTCACTGGTGGCTGCTTTTAGCAAACCCTTAAAAACAGAGCTGTGCAAAAGTGAGGCTAGAGAAGGGCTGCTCTCCCACTGATGTATCCCAGCAAAGGGCCAGGCAGGGTCCTGGCACGGCATGGATAAGGGGATGTGCAGCCCCGCCTTGCAACCTGTGGGAGGGTCTGCGGAGCCCCTCACCGCGGCTTGAGCCTGCTGGGATGCCCATTCCTGGGAAGTCCCAGCCTGAATCCCCTGTTGTCTGTGCAGGAGGAGAAGAAGGTGCCTCCCCCGATACCAAAGAAGCCGCCGCGCTCCAAGGTGCACCCGGTGAAGGAGCGCTCCCTGGACTCGGTGGACCGGCAGCGGCAGGAGGCCCGCAAGCGGCTCCTGGCAGCCAAGCGAGCCGCCTCCTTCCGCCAGAGCTCGGCCACCGAGAGCGCGGACAGCATCGAGATCTACATCCCCGAGGCGCAGACCCGGCTGTGACCGCAGCCTCCGCTTTTCTACCCGGACTGGACGGCGCGGCCGTAGCTCACTGTGATGGGGGGCCGCGGGGACACCCTGGGGCAGCTCTTGGCCCCACTCACAGCTTCTCTCTTTTCTATCTTAGCCCTTTCGTGGATCCGACGGCGGGTGAACGCAAAGCCCGGTTCTGTCCCATCCCCTTGCCCCGCTGCCCGCATGCCCCTGCCAGCCTCTCCTGGGGTCCGGGGCTCTCCCTCCCTCTGCCCTCCCTGGGGCTGTGTCCCAGCTTTCTGTCCCCCTTCCCGCTCCCCAGCCCTTCTGCACACCCGCCCGTGCATCCCAACCCAAAGAGAGGTGACCTTCAGCGCCCGGCCCCGCCGGGCTGGAGGGGAGGGGGCTGCAGGCAGGCCCCCCCGCCTCTCTGTACTCAGTGCAATCCCCTGGTGTGTGGCGGGGACGGGCCCCCAGCCCCTGCCCAGCCGCAGCCCCCCAGCCCTGCCCTGCCGGCACGAGGCTTTGGGACGTGCTGGGGACAAAGGGGTCCCCTCGCTGCTCCCCCCGCCTGCGGCTCAGGTGCCGTGGGGACCCAGGGCTCCCTCCCCTATATACATATATAAATATAACCCAAGGAATAAACCAGAAACTACACGTGACCAGCGCTGTGTCCTGCCTGGTGGGACGGGCCAGAGCAGCAGAGGCCCCCGGTCACGGCGAGCCGCCCCGCTTCCCTCGCACGGAGCATCGCCACGCGCTTCTCCCCCTCCCGCTCAGCCCTCCTTTCCCTCAGTCCATCCCTCATCTGTCCGTCCTTCCCTCCTGCCAGCCTGGAGTCCAGGAGCACCTCTGCGATGTGGCACTAGCCAGGGACAGGCAATACGTGCCTTGCTGCGGGTGGGAGATGCTCCCCCAGTGAGCCCACCTGCAGTGACAAGGACCACACTGGGCTTGGCACCAGTGGGTGGGACCGGAGTGTGGACACGGCCAGCAGCTGTCCCTTGAGTGTGGAGCTAGAGACCCCCTCAGGGGGACAGCCCTTCCCCCTGAGCTCCCGGAGCCCGGCGGGATGGGACACCCCAGGATAGGGCTGTCACGTACCTGATGCTTCTCAGGGCCAAGGGACACCCTGGGATGTGGCTGTCCCCAGCTCCCCCATCACTGTGCACAGAGCCAGGAACAGGGTGGAGAGCTCCCACCAGGGCAGAGCAGTGTGGTGGGGCAGGAGGCTGCATCTGCCTCATCCCTGTCCTTAACCCCATCCCCCAAACATCCTGTCCCCCTCAGTGTCCCTTTTGATGGCAGAGGGGGAAGGACTCACACCCGTCCCTCACTCTGCCGCGCCAGCAGCCCCACGCAGCATCACCAGCCACCCCCCAGGGCAGGGCCAGTGGGTGCCAGGTAGCTCCCGAAATCTGGGGCCAAACCTCGCCCAGGCCCTCAGGCAGGGCGGTGGGATCAGAGGCAGCTGGGGGACGCCCCGCTGGGGGTCCCTCGCTCCTGGGGGTCCGTCGGTGCTAAACACCTCCGTGACGGCAGCGCCCACTCAGCCACGCAAAGCCCTCCCCCACCCCACTCCCCCTGCACCCCGAATTTAGGGATGTGCCTGGGAAGGGCCCCCGGCCCCCGCCCCGGCCAGCGCCGTGCAGTGACCGTGACACGTGGCTCCCTTTTTATTGTAACGAACCGCCGCAATTAATAAAGATGACTTTGGTTACTCCGGGCCAGCGGCCACTTCCCTGCGGGGACATGGCCGGCACCGGGCTCGCCTTTCACCTGTCTCCCATCCTTTTGTGTCCGTGGGGTGGGAAATGCATGCCTGTGGCGTGGGAAATTGGTGACCGTGGCGTGGGAGAAGGGTTTTTGCAGGTCTCCTCGTGGACTTCCCCACGGAAACCTCCCATGGGTCTCTTCCAGAGGGTTCTCAGCCTCCGAGTCCCTCCCCATGGATCCCCTCCTGCGGGTGTCTCTCTGTGGATGTCTCCCCGTGCCTCCCCTGTGACTCCCCACGTGAGTCTCGCCTGTGACACCCCCGTGGGTGTCTCTCTGTGACACTCCTCGTGACTCCTGCATGACGTCTCCCCGTGGCCAAGACACCCTCTGTGATTTCTGCGTGTCTCCCACTCTGAATCGTCCCTGGGTCTCCCCTGGGTCTCCTCCCTGTGTGTCTCCCGATGGGTGACACCCCACGACTCTCCCCGTGGCTCCCCCTGTGACACCCCTTGCCCCCTGCATGACTCCCTCCATGTTCCCCCCTTGTCCCCCCGTGTATTCCCCGTCTCCCCTGATGACTCCCCCTCGGTCCCCTCGGTGTCCCCCGTGTCCCCCCTGTCCCCCGTGTCCCCTCGGTGTCCCCTCGGTGTCCCCCCCGTGTCCCCAGCCGCCGTCGCTCCTCCAGCGCTGCGGTTCCCTCTCTGTCCGCCAGGGGGCAGCCCCGCCCCGCCGCCCCCTCACGGCCGTGACCGGAACGGGCGGGGCCGGGCCCGGGTGAGCGGGGCCGGGGCCGGGGCTGGGCCCGGGTGAGCGGGGCCGGGCTGGGGTCCCTGCGGACCCGGGCGGGGGTCCGTGCGCGGCCCACGCGGGTCCCCATTCCCTGCGGCCATTGCTGAAGCCCCGGTGCGAGCGGGCCCGGCCGGTAACCGCCCGTTCCGGTCCGCAGGCATGTGGTCCGTGCTGTGGGCGGCCGTGCGCTCCAAGGCCCCGTACGTCACCTTCCCGGTGGCCTTCGTGGTGGGGCTGGTGGGCTCCCAGCTGGAGTGGTTCCTGCGCGGAGACCCTCCGCCCACGGCCCAGGAGGAGAAAAGCATCTCGGAGCAGCGGGAGGACCGCAAGCTGCAGGAGATCGTGGGCGAGGACCTGACCAAGGTGGTGAGCCTGAAGGACAAGCTGGAGTTCGCCCCTCGGGCCGTGCTCAACAGGAACCGGCCCGAAAAGACTTAATAAAGAGTGATTTGGGCAAAGGCGGTGCCCTGGAGCTGGGGACTCCCCTGACACCTGCACTGCTTCCACCAGCCTCCCTCCTGCACTTGCTGCTCCTCACCGGAGGGTCAGGTTTGCCACCCCATGGATTTGCTCAAGGTACCCGGAGCTCGGTGGCAGAGCGGGCAAGGAGCTGTGTGTGGAGATGGAGAGAGTCTGAAACTCCTCAGCTCTCGCCAGGCCTGGCTCCTGCACCACAAAACACTCTCGGCCTGATTCCATCTGTGTCTCCTCAGGTTTGATTTCTTCCATGGTGTGAAGGTAGAAGTTTGGACCTGAGTGCTATGGGATGGGGTCAGGCTGACCGCCAGTGACAGGAAGAACTGCTGCCCTGCTTCCAGATCCCCTGTGGCTCTTGATGAACCCCAATACAGCCCCACGCCACAATGTACTACAGCAGCCATGGCCCCCTCCCTGCATCATCCCACCCAGCAGCGGTGACAGGGGGAGGTGAAAGTCTTGGTCCTGCTCCGTTGTGGTGCTCTGAGTGTGGCGACGTGTTGGGAATGGGGACATCTCTGCCCTCTGCACAATAAACTTCTGTCAGTTCTCGGGCCTCTGTGTCTCCTGCGTCAGCACAGCCCTGTTTCAGGGCATGTCTCTGCTCCCTCCGTGTTCAAGAAGCAGCTGCTGCAGTGGCACGAATGCCGTTGCTGTCCCTGGCTGGGCACTGTCCTCCAGGCCTGGCAGCAGGGTGGTGGGCAGGAAGGAGGAGGAGGCACCAAATTCCCAGCCTGTGCTGTGGCTGTGCCTCCCTCCCAGCTCCCCCAGCTGCGTCATCTGCTTCCGTTTGACCTCTTTATCTCGAGGAGAAGGGCTGTGACAACACAGAGTGGGGTCCCAGGGGACGGGGGTCCCACTGGGGTGCTGAGCAGGGAGAGGCTGGCAGCAGGCCCTGGGGGCCAGTGGCCGGTGTCCCCTCCAGGCTCAGGCATTGCTGGCACAGCAGGGACGAATCCCAGCCAGAGCTGCCTGAGCAGGGCCGGGGCCGGGGTTATCGCTGCCTCCTGGCTTGTTTTTTCCCGTGGTGCCTGAGCAAGGCCCCGGCTCTGTCCCGGCCCGGCCTTCCCCTCCCGGGGACGATAAATCTGCCTAAATCTGCCGTGCCGGTGTGAGCGCCGAGGTCAGCAGGCAGTCAGCATTCACACCGCGCTGTGCTGTGCCCCAGGGCCATTCCTGCCCCGCTGACAGCTTTACTGCGCTGCTCCCGGCTGTGTTTGCTGCCCGAGCTGCTGTCCTGGGCTGGACTGCTGCTCTCAGCTGGGCTCATGGCCCAGCACCACCGGGAACACTCTGACCTTTGCTGCGAGGGCAGCTGAGCCTCGGGAGAAGGTGCAGGAGGAGCCTGGGTGTGATTTAGAGGCTGTCCCAGCCCTGTCCCACTGCCACCTCCTGCACTGGGGCTCACAGTGCCCACCACGTTGCCCCCCTGGCAGGCAGTCCCCTAAAGTAGCCCCTTCCCCTTTGTCTCCTGCTTTCCCAGCCAGGCTGTGGGGTGATGGCTGTCCCCTATTGTGTGCTGGGGTGGGAATGGTCCTGTTCCTTCTCCCAGCTGGGACCGGCTCGGAAGCTGTCTCTGAAATGCCTTTGTTCACCCCGCGCCGGAGCGGCTCCCCCGGCTGTTTATGGCCCATTGATCCCCTCGTTCCCAGGGCCGGCCGGGCACAATCGGGCTCTGGGGGGGCCTCGCTGCCCCATTTCCTGCCCCAGCCCCATGCAGTGTCGCTCGGGGAGGCTGCTCCAGCACAGCATTGAGTCATTGAGTCCCGGGGAAGGACTCAGCCCTGATGGTGACAGCTTGGGCATCGATGGCACCTGGCTGGCAGCCCCTGCCGTGCTGGCATCCCCTGCCCGTGGCACTTCCAGCTGTTTCCGTGTGTCTGGGGACTCCCGTCCATCCGCCGGCACTGCTGCAGGTCTGTGGATTCCTGCAGGCGCTGGGACAGGGGTGAAGCCGCTTCCCAGACCCGTTGCCTTTCTCCTAAGCCTTCAGTGCTGTAAACCCACCCTTCCTCCCATTGAATCCCAACAATGTGCCGCTTGGGAAGTGCCGGCGGGACAAGAATAGGAGCGGGCAGCTCTCAGGGCTAGGGCGAGCAGCCACGGCGGCTCACCAAGAGCCAGAGGAAGCTTTGCTGAATAAGCCATTATGGTAAAACCCTGCCCTCTCGAGCCTGCACTCAGCCACTCACGTGCAAATGCTCGGTCTGGTGCAGGGGGTTTGTGATCCAGCTGTTCCCAGCACGGCACAGCTGGGCGCTGCTGTGGAAGCCCTGCCTGCAGTGAGCCTGTCCCCAGACAAGGAGTCCCATGCCTGGCCAGGAGGCCAGTGTTTGGTGTGAGAGCATCCTCCCAGGCTTGTCCAGCTTCGGGGATGTCCCTGCATCTGGGGCTGGCTGTGACTGCACGGTGCCATGGCTCAGGGGTTGAATCCAGCAGCCACAAGTACTCCTGGTCCCAGCCCAGCCTGTGGTGGCCGTGCCCCAGGCTCACAGGGGGTCAGGGTGACTGCAGTGCTCTTGGCATGTCCTGAGGGCAGCTGCAGCTTCCCGATGGACCCTCTGTCCTGCCCAGGTCCTGCATTGCTGCTGGAATCCATCATGAGCAGCTCGTTGGAGGAGCAGGTGGTGGTTTCCTCAGGCAGGATGCTGGCAGCGAGCTGTGCCCCAGCTCACTGCGGGGACTGGGACAGCTGCTGTGCCGGGGGGACAGTGACATCCCCCTGGCCATCCGGCACACCTGTGTGGCTGCTCTGGATGTCCGGTTAGATCAACGCAGGGATGGTCCAGCTGTGCAGGGCTGAGGATGAGGTGACCCTGTGCTGGCACCGGGATGGCCCAAGTCCATCCGGGCCCTTCCTGCAAGGCCTGGAGTGATGATGCTTTGGGAGGAGAGGAGCTGGGTGGGAGCTGGCAGGGGGAGCAGGGGCTGGCAGGGACTCACACGCTGGTGTCCCATGCTGGTACAGTGCAGTGACCCCAGGACACCCTGGACATGCCCACAGTGGGGTGGCCCTGGGACACCCAGGACCTTCCCACAGCACGGTGTCCCCACAGCCCCGGGGCATGGCGGGTGCTCACCCCGGCTGTGCTGGAGAGCAAAGAGAGCATCCCCTCAGCGTGTCTCCCACAGCCCCTGGAGACTTCTGCTCCCTCCCAGCGCAGGCTTTTCCCAGGCCCTGGTTTTGCCCTTTTCCTGAGAGCAGCCAAGTCTTTCCCAGCTCTCCACGTCTCACTTCCTGCTATGGCTCCCTCCATGCTGCTCCTGGAGGCTCCTTCTGTGGTCAGAAAAGGCCCTGAAGTGCCGTGGGAGAGGAGCAGCTCTGCTCTACACCAAGTCACATCCCTTGAGCCATAGCTGGGGACAGCTACAGGGGAACATGTTCCCTTCTCATTCAGCACTGACTCTTCCTGCAGGTACAGCTCAGGCTTGATTCCCTATCCCCAGCACTCCAGGACCACTGCGAGTCCTTGTTTTTAGGCCACATGGGTCTTCCCATGCCACAAAAAGCCCCTAGCTCTGCAGGCAGCAGCCTCTGCGTGCCTGGTATTGCATCAGGATGATGCCCTGAGCTGCTGGCAGGGTTAGGAGCCGTGCCAGGGTGGGCACAGGGTGCTGGGCACTGCAGTCCTGGTGCCTCCACACGAGGAAACGGACGGGGGTGAGCGACAATGTCAGGATGCAGCTATTGAGTGCATTTCCTCCCTCCTGCAGTTCTCACACAGGGCTGCATTGTCTGCCATGCCCGTGCATGGAGGGACCCTAGTGGAGGGCTAAATATAATTCCAGGGAGGAAGGGAGCTCCGTGGGGTTTGCTTTTCCTTCGCCGTGTACCATTGGCAGTGGCTGGAAAGGGCAGGATTATCCCTGCCTTGGGGTTGCCCCAATGGTGGCTACTGTGGGCACAGAGTGCTGGGGTCAGGGCTCTGTGCCTGGCCTGGGAGGATGCTCCTGACTGCTCCCACTCCCCCTGAGGACACACCTGGGCATTGACAGGGCCCTGTGGGCATGTGTGGCCACGCTGTGGCCCTGCCTGGCACCCTTCTGCCCAGCTCTCTGCTCTTCTTCCCCCTCAGCTGTGATTCTGCTCCCACCTCGGCTCTTCCTGAGTGGGTCAGATTTAGACACTTGCTGTTTGCTGTGTGCTGGGAAAGGTTAAAAATAAACTCCTTGGCCCTTGGCCAGCACCTCAGGCAGAGCCTTTCAGGCAGGACAGCCCTCTGTCCCAGGCCATGAGCTGAACAGTGTGCCTGGCATGGACTGGTCTGAACTGGGAGGAGGGCAGAAACCTCCCTGCAGAGGAGCCCCAGGGCTCCTGGGGACTCTGACTGGCGTCAGACCAACATCAGCAGGAATTGGGTTCTGGGGAGTGTGTGGTCCCTCCAGGGCTGGCAGAGCTGCCTCAAAGCATTTCCAAACTCTGGGGGTGCCCATGGGAGCCTCTCACCACAGCCCCCAGGCTGCCTGTGCCAACATGGGGCTCAGCGTCACCATCCAGGGCCGGGTGTTGGGGGAGTGAGTGTCGTTCCCACGAGGGACCAGAGGGACCTGTTTACTCAGGAGGGAGTGTGGAGGTGTGAGAAATGCCTGTCTGGCCACTGTCTGTCCCCAGGCTGTGCCAAAGGGCTCCACCGGGCCAGCCTGGGCTCTTATCAGCTCCAAACTTTTATTTGCCTAAGGGCTGCCCGCCCACCTTGTGGGAGGCTGCTGCCAACCGCAGCCCTGCTGCTGCCCCCTCCCCAGCCTGGCCCGCAGGTAAGCCCCTCGCTGTTGTTGTTGGCAGCACGTCCCGGCGGCGTGGGGTCACTGCAGCTGCCCCGAGGCACTTTGTCACAACACGGGAACAATAGTGGGACACGGAGTTGTGTTTGTGCAGCGCCTGGGCTCTGCACCATCCAGGCAGTGGTGGGGGGGTCTCGGCCGTCTTGTTTTCCACCTTGCAGGGTCGCTCGGAAAAGCGTGATGCTCCCCCCGTGCCAACAAAAATAGGAGTCCAGGAGAGGGGAGGTGACCCGGGGACACTGTGGTGGGTAAACATGGCACGGCTCCTCCATTCCCTTTCACTCACAGGGTGTTTCTTCCTGACCCAACACATTGAGCTGCTCCCCCCGGGGCTGCAGGGCTCTGCTGATACCTGGCGAGCACTGGGATGTGGCCCCCCATTGCACTGGCATGGCCTGGCAGGTCCCAGCTGGGCAACAGTGGGAGCAGGGCAGGGTCCTTCCACAGCAGATCTAGCCCAGCATCCTCCAGGAGGGCACAGGGAAGAGCTGGGAGCTGGTGGTGTGCCCAGACCCCCACCCCAGGGGGTTTCACCCCCCTTGTTCCCAGCAGGGAGGAAGCCAAGGGTGGGCTCAGCTCCCAGCCCAAGGGCAGCACAGCTGGGTGCCTCCCTCCTCATTTCCTCCAGTGGCTGATGGCAGTGATACTGCCCCATATCACCCATATTTCATTTTCTCCAGAGTATTTTTAGCCTGTCCCACCCTCACTGGAGAGGCCCTCGACAGAGAGCAGGCTCTGCTCTGGCCTGGCTTGGCTGGGGAACTAAA